AGTTAGAGGTAGGGCTTACACACACAAACACACACACACACTCACAAAACTACTGAAGCAATCCAAGCCCAAGATAATAGAATCTTGAACCAAAGGGTGATGTCATAAGATGGATTCTGACTTGAAAGTTCATGGTCATGGCAGGTGAAGGAAAGGGTGAAGTCAAAGACGGCTCAGATGTTTCCAACTTGAGAGACTGACTAGTGTTTCTGTAACTTATGAGAATGGAGGAATTGCATAGGACAATTCCCAGCAGAAGATTAATAATGATAAGTCCTGATCTTCCCTGTGAAAAACTTTTTTCATAGATATAACAACCTATATGGAGCCCACAAATCACTGGTTGATCAATAATTTCAATCTTCTTTTCATGTTTTTTCCTAGACCTGCTGACAAGAGGAAAAACCAACTGAGTTCACTTTTACAGTCAGGTTCAATGTATAAATTTTGAGCCAATCAAGATAGTAAACAAAATTTTTCACTGTGAGTCCCTCAATTATTACCATTAAACCATGGATGTGCCGGGGAGCAGGAATACCCTGGAATCCTGCACACATGCACCTGTCTTTCCTTCCCCAGATACACCCCACAGGAAAAGCCAACAGGAAAAGCCTCACTCTTCTGACATTTACAGCCCTTCCCGTGAGACGCCCCTGAGGCTCTTTCAACACCAGACTATGCAATAGTTTCCTCTCAGCAAGTCAGACATCATAGGGTACAAGTTGCATGGATCCCACAAGCCACCAATAAATCAGTATCTTCAATCTTCCTCCTCAGGCCTTTTCTTAGAGCTGCTGATATGTAGATAAGCCTACTGAGCTCACTTTCCAACCTAATTGAATCTATAATCCTGCTAACAGATGGCATGAGGAAGAAAAAGGAGATACTATCTAGGCTGTAGGATCTCCACTCTTGACACCCAACACATGGATAAAACCACCCATCTGCAGGAAAAAAACTGGTTAAAATCCAGGCTTAGGGACATGGTAAACATGTGAACATCGGTAAATTGTTTAACATTTCTGTGCCTCAGTTTTCTCATCATTAAAATAGTTCAAAAAAGTATGATATTAACTAAGGTAATATATCCAAAGTACTCAGCACAATGTTTCACACACAGCATTTGTCCACCCATATTATCTTTATGCATCCCTGAAGACTGAAAGTATACTTTGGTCATCAAAAGCCATGCTAGGAAGTCAGGTTGAGTCATATCCGGATGGAAGGCATTCAGAATAACTCTGAACAATAGAAATTTGGATATAATTCAATTGGCTTCTTCCAGCTACCAGTTACTACTTTCCAGTGAGTGGTGGATTGAATTTCTATCCTATGAGGGAGCAGAGATGTGAAAAATTGACAGCCTTGAGGTATATGGGGATTCATTCAGTGTATGATCATATTTGCAGAGTCTTATTTCCATTATGCTTTTAGTGATATTTTTAAGCACTTGAAAAACATTGTTTTCCACTCACAAAAAAAGGTAACTCTTTGTTTGACATGACTGCATTCTTTAGCATCTACTTATATCATTATGGCAGGATTTTATTGTCTTTGAAAATTGGTCCTATAATACTTAAGAACTGCTTGCCTGGACTTTCTTGTGTATGTATGCATTCATGTACATATATATGTATGTGTGTGTGCATGTATGTATGGAAAGGAGACAAATGTGCTGCACATTTCAGCTGGGCTCAGTTTTAATGAATTTTGGGAAGGTTCATGTTGCTTTGTTTGTCTTTGCCCGTAAGCATGGTGTTTGGCTTTGAAATTTGCCTGTCAGCAAGTCACTGCCTGTAGAGATTGCAAGAGGTTGGAATGACTTCCAACTTGGCACCTCAGCCCATTTCCACCCTGTGTGAACAGGAAGCACCAGGGCCTGCCTGGCAGCCTTGGGAGGTTTTCTTTACCAGGGATTTATAGTCTGCAGAGACTGGTTACCTAAGCTGTTTGTTGCAACACAAAAGGGAGTGAATGAAGGCAGATTATACTGAAAGCAAGTAGTATTTGTTGGATTTCCTCCTCTGCAGCTGCTTTCTCATCTACCAAAAATCCAGACTTTTCCAGAAGCTTATCAGTCAAAAACACTATGGAGAGAGATGTTTTGAGCCAATAATTATATTTTTCTAAATGATTTATCAAGTCCTATAGACCTGCCTAGCTATTCTGGGAGCAGAATGTACCAATGGAATTACAACCCTTATTCTCAGCGTGGCTAAGTTTCAAGTAGGGGTGTAGTCTAAAATGTCATCTTCATTTCTCTATTGCCCAACAAACCCTGTAGTCTAGTGAGAATTTTAACTCTGAAACAAGACCTGATTTCTGTGATACTATTCTAGAGTGATACACAGAATTAGTCACATAGAGAGAGCACTTTACATAGATACTAATATTGAGGACAATTCTGAGACCTACATTGAAATGCATTTGCTCTCCAAATTTTTTCATTTCATGATAGACACAAAGAAGTGCTTATAGTTTCAATTTCTAATGCTTAGTTCTTTCTTACTAACCTAATATGAAAAATTAGTCTAAAAATTACATATAATAAATGTTAGTCCAAGAATGTAAAACCAGATTCTAGAGCCAGCCTAGGTTCATATCTTGGCATCACCATTTCTTCATTGTGCCATCTTAGTCAAGCTGCTTAGTTTCTCTGTACATTAGTTTTCTCAACTATGAAATGAACAATATAATCACTACCAAAATAAGTGATCAAGAAATATGTGTTATCATTCTTGAGCCAGTTTTAATCTTTTGGTACTCTAGCTAGATATGACAAAGAAACACAAGAATAATTTTTTAAATCAGTAAAATTACCTAAACACACTATCACCTGGAAGTTATTCCTTCTCTAAATACAAGAGAAAGAACTGCTTCTAAGGTTTCTTTGAATTGCTCTACAGAACAGCAATTTTATATAACTACAATTTAATGTACATCTTATAGTCTATTGATAATAAGATGAATTGAAACTGGGCATAATTTTTGGCTCTTATTTATCAAAATAAAAGTTCAAGGCTGAGGAACAATTAATGTGTAAGAGAGTAAGATATGGTTACAAATCTCATGGACAAAGAAAAAGGTAAGGTGGCCTCCAATACCTTTCTCCCCTATCCTACATGATTAAATTTTGGTAAACTACAACCTTCCTGGGTTCCAGTTACTAATGTGTAAAGCAAGAGGGTCCCTTTCAGTTCTGATAGCCAACCAATAAGCTAGCTTCCAATATGAGGCTCATATAGTTTAAAAGACTATCAAATACTCTTTCAGTGTTTGAAATATCCCTTAATTTTCTTCTTTCCTATCTACAGACAATCACTTTACAGCTAATTACTATTCCAGTATGATAATAGGTTCATAGTTTACAAAAAAAGCTGTTCATCTCCTTTAAATATTGTCTCTTTTTTTTGGAAGCCCTCTAGATTAGGTCTAGGAGGAGTTATTACATTGTTTCTCCAGTTTTTTCTTCCTAATTTAGTAGAATTACAAGCGTGGTCCATAATTTTCTCCATAGGTCTCTATGCTATCAGGTGGCACCAATTAGTTTAAGATGACTCATCCCCAGACTTTGTATTTCTTTCTTGGAAATTTCACAAGAGGAATTTTATGTAACTGAAAAATCCTTAAAACAAAAGAAATTGGTAAAAATGAGCTGTTGAAAGGAGCTATTAAGGTCCTATCAATATATTACCAAATTGATGATCAGTATCTTAAATCAGGATATTTTAAAGAGTATTTGCCCTACTTCTATGTTGAATGTATAATTTCCAAAGCTCATGCATTACTTCTTACATCTTGTATACTTGAGATATAGACAAAGTCATAAATTTCAACAGCACACAATGAGATCAATTTGTTCTAAACAGCTAATATACTCACTATGAATAGAATAAAATTTTGGAGTTTTCATAACAATTTAATAAAATCTCACCAACAACTCTATATAATGACTTGTGCAGAAATCCTTTAGAAAAAAATGTGCTATTCAAATATAAGAATTACTGTAGCACCAAGAGTTTACATGTTTTACACTGACTGAACTGATATTTTCTTTTGAATTATCCTGACATGCATGATTCAAATAGAGCTCTTGTTTCTCAGGACTGGGTAATTTTACAAGTTTTACCTTGTTATTCCTTTTATAAAATAATTCAGCATTGAATTCTTTTATTAGCCAATTACTATAATTTACTTGAAATACAATCTGATTTACAAAAGTTTGATTTATAAGAAGCTTTGTTGGTGGATGGCTGCTTTGGGAAATTTGTAACATATAACTCAACTTTTACTCCTTTACTAAGAAAACTGGTTCCTAACAGGAAAAAAAAAGCCAAGACAGCATTAATCTAATCATGGGGGTTAAAATCCTCATTCTCTCACTTCTGAGTATTTCTCTGAATTCTTTCTGCATTTTTGTTTTGTATCCAAAAGAAAGTATTGAACTAAGTTGAGTATTCTGCCTGTTTGACAACTTGGCAGTGACCAAATGAAACTAAAAAGGCTCTAATTAGAAAACAATCTTCTTGTAGACAAAACATGTTGACACATTTCTGCCATTCAACTATCAGTCTTGAAAAGAGCAAAGAGGTTTTTATAGTCCTCTGCTTTTCCCTTGCTCAGTTGATCAAATATACGTCTATGCTTTCAACTATAAAAGTAAAGAATAATCTAGACTCAGATTGCTGCTAGTTTATGCTGTGTATACCATGTAAGATTCATGATATAAATAATAAATGAATCAAAATTTTATGAAAAAATTTAAAATATATTCTGGCTTCTACATGCTTCTTATTTTTCTAGGTAAATATTACAGATTCAATGTTTTGGTTTGAAAAGGTGGGAGGAAAAAACACACAAACTATGTACAGAAATACTTTTCAAATGGAAACATTACTCCCCCCAAAAATGAATTTTAGCATGAAACATTGAAGCAGTATCAAAACAAATTTTATTTAATACCCAAAAGCTGGAGAAACAAATAAATCTCATCTACTTACAAGTTGGTTTTGCTGTTGGAGGAAATTTCGTCCGAGTAATAGCCAAAATGATGAAAATAATGACTGGCCATAAGATCAAGACAAGTGTCCAAAACTGCAAAATAACAATAGATGAAGATGTTAGTTATATCGCTGGACCAAAACAACCAAGAAATCAAAAAATACTAAGTTGAAGAATTTTTCCATGCTGTAATACCCAAACCAAGTTGGACATTTATTTACAACATTATTAAGGAAGAAATGAGAGAATTCTTAAAATGTAAAAGACTTCACAAGAATAATTTTTCCAGGCTTAAAACCTTGAAATGCTCTTCTGAATTTCCCTCTCGGGTCACTTCTCAACTAATCCAGGAGTGATTATCTTGAAATTCAAATCTGATCAGTAACTTTCTTACTTATAAATCTTCTGAAAGTTCACAGTTGCCTGTTGAACAAGACTAAACATTTTCCAAGGGGCATATGAAACCCAGCATAGGTTCAACCTGAACCTGTCTTACCCCTTCCAGTGCCACGCTCAGCCACGAAGACTAGTGTATGAGCTTGGGTAATGGGATGATAAATATTGTTGACCAAATCAGTGACTGAATGAACCAACATAATGAATAATCAAGTCAAGGAGTGAGTGAATAAACAGGAGCTTGAAGATCTTTGCAATCCTCCCAATAGCCCTCTCCCCAACCTAGACCACTGTTGTGGTCTTGTATCTGCTTCTATCATAGAACTTAACATACTGTTACAGTCAACATTGTTTTTTGCCTGGTTCCCAAAGTAAACAGGTGGCTCTTTTATGAATTTTCATTACCTGGTGCAAAATAAGTGCTCAAAAATAGTATACTGCGTTGAAATTCCTATCAGAGAATTTCACCGTAAGGCACATTAGGAGCTGTTTTTTCTCCCTATCAAGATATGATTCTGCTCAAAAGTCACTAACTGCTTAGTATTTTATAGACCTATAAAACTGGCACCAGAGCAGTGGAAAACACATGTTCACAAGAACATTAACTGTGATATGCAAACAGTTATAGTGCTCAAATCAAACCATAGAGAATAAATTTTGCCTAAATTTAATGAAGTTAAAGTTGGAGCATATTTCAGCCTGGCTATGCAGTCAGACTTGATATCTTTTCTCCTCCACTTTTCAGAGCCTATTTCTTCTGGAAAATCTCAAACTTTCTACCTGAGGCTCTTCAATGCATTAAAATAATAGAAAGCTAATCAATTATTGATCCTTTAGTAATTCCTAACCTAAATTCTCACTACAATCTCCATTGTATGTCAAAGAGCACTATTTTCCTTACCAGTAAACTTATCACCAACTTGTTAGACTGAGTATAAGTCTTTAGGCAAGTTGTAAAAAATGAAGAAGTTCACTATAGGTCTAAGGAATCCTAAGATGTTTGATTTGATCATTGGTGAAATGCACCCAGATAGGCCAAATTGCTTAATCTAAAATCACACTTCTCAGACATTAATATGTGCACCAAATCATGCAGATTTAGATTCTTTGGACTTGAGGTGGGGCCTGAGATTCTGCATTTCTAGTAAGCTCCAAGGGTAGGTGATATTGTTGATCCACGGACTATACCTTGATCAGAATGGAGCTAGCTCTATTCTATCCCACCTTATTAGGAAGACTATTTATAAAGTCCTGGAATATTTTTGTTGGAAAGTTTCTGTGAGATAATTTAACAGATAGATTTTAGGGCGTTTGTAAACTTGGACTAAAAAATCACATATTTATTTTCTCTGGTTTAAAATTTAAATTTCCATTAATGATGAAAGTAGGCAAGAAAGCACAATGTTACTAGGAGTATTTGTAACTTTATCATCAATAGAAATCATAGATATTTTAAAATCACATGAGGATTCTTACAGATACCCCAAAATGCTATTTACATCACTATGTTAAAATTATGGTAATAGGGTGAAGGGAGGGCAGGGGAATGGGGAAAAATAAGAACCAAGATACATCATGTAAAGGTATAAGATCCCAATGGTGAATGTAACTGTATTGTATACCTAAAATGTACCAATAAACTTAATGGAATAAAATAAAATTATAGTAACTATGGGTACACTGACCTTGTCTTTGATGCTACAATATTAATAGCATTGAAATTTATGCTAAAAAATGTTAAAACTAAATAAATTTTGCCATAACACACATAAATTTGCTTCTTTAATATTTTGATAACTAAATGTCAATATAGTCATATTTATAATACATTTTATTTTATTTCATTATCAGTTTAAAAACACTATTGTTAGAAGGCCACCTGCTTGATCAGACTGCCAAAGACATCCATGGCATCAAAGATGCTAAGGACTCCTTGATCTGATAAAAATAAAACTCACTTGTTTTATTCTCTGAGCATAGAAGGCTAACATAATTTGCCCAAAGTTACATATTCAATTGGAAAGTAGACCAGAGGACAAATATCTGAATCTCAACATGTATTTTTTTATAATTATTGTGCTGCTGTTAGACTGAAAAAACATTACCAATGGAGTGCTGGAAAAATATGAGTGCAAGAAATATAAGCTGTGCTATTACTCTAGCCTAGTCTCTGATAGTCAAAATTAAAGTCTGCTCTTCAAATATCCTTCATACAAGGTACCAATCATATTTTATGTGACTCATTTGAAATGTAGACTATAAAAAAAAAGGTTAAAAAATTAACATTTGCAAATTTATTGGTTTGGTATTTGAAGACATAGTTATTCTTTAAAGAAAGTGTTCCTCTTAATCACAGGTCTAGTGCTCTGTAGCTTCTCTTAGAAGAGCCTATTAATTTTCTATGGCAACTTCATGAGAATTCAGAGTCCAAGATCAACATGCTAACAACACAAATAAACATGCACATTCAATGAGACATGTATTATCAGATATCTTTAAATTGTCTTTTGATTGATCTAATTTGATGATTTTTTATGAGGGATGTTTTGGTAAATTCCAAAAGTAACTTTAGATATGTTTTAAACCTAGGAAAAACATGTGGTCTCTAATTAGAGAAGTTTAAGGAATTTAGACTATGTTAAAGCCAAAAAGAACAACAGCCCATAAACAAATCTGTTATAACAAGCTTTCCCTGGATCAGAGACACTTGAGAACATCTCTGTATAGTTCATTTTAGAGGGAGAATAAATATAAAGCTCTCCACACTGGGATCTTGGGAGTGTAAAGATTGAGAAATTAATCACAAAAGCAAGAAATAAACAAAATTTACATTTTGACAGCAGCAAGATTGCTCTCAATACCATTCTAAATATTATCATAAGCAACCTAGAAGGAAATATTATGTCAAGCACTCAAATACTAAACCAGTGAGCTATAACATTTTTGTTTTTGAAGGGCAAATATATTGATTTTTACAGAAATAGACTGAGGCACTACTTAAACACTTGGAGGAAAGTAGTTTTTAGAGGTTTAATATTTTTGCTAATATTTTAATTGTCTCCCTACTTCTATACCTTATTTGCATTCTATCCCTCTGTATTCTTGACAGTATCTAAGAACATATACACACTGAATAATTACAAATTCTTTAGTGAGCTGGGGCATTTGTGTTCTTTGATTTCTTCAGGGTTTATTCTCTATTGACATATCCATTCTGTTCTTTTTCTTCTCCTTCCCTTCCTGAAAAATTGAGTGCAAAAGTCCTTAAGTGAGGTCTTGTGAGGTGAGATTCTTCTCTAGAACTGGGGGAGCCACAGTGACCCAGTGAGAGAAATGAGTCCCCCAACAGAGCAAAGAGGATTTTGACAGTGAGAGAGGCAGATGTGGGGTCTCAGAGCTCAAGCTGTCAGAGTGGGAAGAGAGGGCAGAAGCAGCAGCAGGTGATTAGTTTTATATGGGAAAGCTGACCAAAAAATTCCCCATGAAGGAAGACAGGCCTCTCACTATCCATCAGGAAACTTGTAAAGATGGAAAAGAAAGAAACTAGGGTGAATTCTGCAGTGTTGGGTGAGAATTAACAATACAGGCATAAACTCTACATTTCCAAAATGTATAAAGAGACATAAAATGCAGTATAAATGTATGTGTTACTTATTGCCTACTTTCTGATTCTATGAGTTCTTTAGGCCTCATTTTGTACATTTTTTGTCCCAGTCCTGAATATACTCATTTTCTTAAGAATTGCTAGCTGCCCAGGCTGGGCTTGAACTTACAACCCTCTTGCCTCAGTTTCTCAGAATGCTGGGATTACAAGCATGCACCACCGCATCTGGCTAATATTAGCTTCATTTAGTGGACATCTTGGGACTATATGTCAGAATTGCTATTGGGGTGTTACCTTTTCTAAGTGTGGACACAGCTACAGAATATTTGTAAAAGATAGAGAAGGGTAATTGGTAGGTATAAGGGTAATAGATATGCTGCTCAGAGACTGTTGAAGAATGATACAGATGCATGCACAAATACAAACACCAGCATACGGACAAATCCAACATCAAATTTGACTTATTGACCAAATTTAAATATTAAAATACACTATAATAATAAAATGCACGATTGATTAAACTAGGAATCCATGAATCTATGCAGACATTAATAAATACATAAGCAAGCAGACAAATGAATTAAAGGCTTAATAAAAAGGATATGGTCATAGTCTCAAAACATTTCCCCACAAAGCCACATAAGTGGGCATCATGGACCACCTGATGGAACGCAATGGGCAGAAGACGGAATCTCATCTGTGATATTCTTGTCAAAGATGAATAAACTGACATTTAAGTTGAGAAAACAACAGATTCTCAGCAACACAACTGTCCATGAAGGTTCAAGGTGTCTTGGTCTTGAAAGTCAAGGAGAAGCCAAGAGACACCTTCAGACAGAAGGATGGCACATGTGAAAATGAGATACAGTATATGATTCTGAACTGGAACAATTTCAACATATAGTGAAGCTTGAATTGAGTCTGGGGATTTGATGATGCTAATGGGTTATATTTGTACAAAATGCACACTTAAGCATCCAAGTAGTGGGGCACCAATTGTAAATGACTCTGGAAGGTAACATTATTTGTACTGTTTCATTAAACCTGAAATTATTTCAAAATAAAAATTTAGAAATTATTTAAAAGTTCTCTA